GCAGTTCAAACTCACCAGCTGCTCCTTGGAAAGTCTATACAGGGTCACTATAAGTCAGAACTGATTCAGTGGTACTTAGCAGAAGTTCATGGGTGACACAAACGATTACGCACTTGACTACTAAGTGAAAGGTTGGTAGTTCTAACCTATGGAGAAGCACCTCAGAATAAAGGCCTGGCAACCTGCTTCTAAAAATTCATAGTTGTACTATGGAGTTGTCATGAGTGGGAACTGATGGCAAATGGTTTCACATTTTGTTGTTGTTACTTTGCTTTTTTGAGTGGAACATATATACTTTTTGCAGGCGTTCATGTGATACAATGGTTAAGTGATTCACTGCTATCCAAGCAGTTGATGGTTTGAACCTACCTAGTGGCTCTAAGGAGTCAGTGGTGTTGTAAGATAAGCACTGAACTGTTAACTGAAAGGTTGGCGGTTCAAACCCATCAGCTGCTCCTCAGAAACCCCACTATGAGTTGGAATCAATTCGATGACATTTAACAACAGTGGCTCTGAGGGAGAAAGACTTGGAGAACTACTCTTGCAATGATTACAACCTAGAAAAACCCTATGGAGCAGTTTTACTGTCACATGGGCTTGCTATGAGTTGACATCAACTGGATAGTGCCTAACACTATCATGTACTTTTGAGAGCTTCTCTTTTAAATCAAGCCTATCGGCAAATTGTTGTTGTAAATTCTATTACTGTTCTTTGGTGGTGTTGAGTTCTGACTCACTGCAATGTTGTTAAGGGTTTCTGAGGAACAGCAGCTAGTGGATTTGAATCACTGACCTTGTGGTTAGCAGTCCAGAAATTCTACTGAATGTCTTCAATTTAAGCAGACTGAAGTATGTACCTGAAAACATATATAAATGTATTTAAATGTGCCATTATAGAGACATCATAAATCCAACTCTGCCCTCAGCATCTAGATTAGGGAATCACTAAAAAATACCAGAGGCTTTAGTCCTTTAATATAGTCAATATTAATGGAGTCTGAACAGACTCCTGGTGTCATGCTGTAGGATAAGCAGTAGACTGTGAACCACAAGGTTGGCAGTTCGAAACCCACCAAAACCTCGGAAGCCCTATACAGTGTTGGAACTGACTCGACGGCACTTAACAACAAACAATAGAGTATTTCACAATTCAGAATTTATTTCGGATACTTTAATCATTTATTCACCTTACACCTTACCATTTAAACAAAGACTGGAAACCAAAAGCTTACTCTTTGAACTATATTTCTAAAAATCATACCCATTGTTGTCTAATCAATTCTGACTCAACATGATCCTATGTGTCAGAGCAGAACTATGCTCATAAACTTTTCAAACGTTGATTGATTAGAAGTAGATGGCCCGGGTCTTTCTTCTCAGATACCTCTGGATGAACCTTTCTGTTAGCACAGCCAAGCAAGTTAATAATTTATACCCCCCAGGGAGGTCCTTTACAACACACTTATATTTCAGTGGCAAGCCGGGTTAAGGCAGCTAGACTTACTATGCAGAGTTGTAACTTGAAAATCAACACCTATAAGGAATCCTTCATACCTTATGTGGTATTTTTTTACTGATATTTTAATGCTCAGATTTTACTAGATGACCTTTAAAGTTCTCTACTCTGTAACATTACAAACGTTCGTTTGTAAACTCCCAGTGCTTAATTATCCAAGAAACAAGCAGCTTGTAAGTGGTAGGTAAACCAGACAGCACCTATGTTTACTAGTCATGGAAGTTAACTTCTCTTAAAGCTCTAAAGAGGGAGTTAATAACAAATATACCTGGCAAAAAAGAAATGGCAATAGTCAAATGGCTAGCAAAAGGTTAGTAGTTTGTTGTTGCTGTTTTTAAACACCCTCCATACCCCTGTACCAGTTGCTATTCTTACCAAGCTCTAGCGTTATCAATTTTTCGCCAACAGCAGGATCAGCTGAGCAAAATAAAATTAGGATAAAGGAGACAGGAAGGTAGTAAAGCACTTAAGTTTTACATTATGATACCAATTTGGAGTGAATACTCAACAATTAAGGAGTTCTGATAGTTAAGAGTTGGTCAGCAGTTCGAAACTACCAGCTGTTCCATAGAAGGATGAGGCTTTCTGCTCCTGTAAACATCTACAGCCTATACAGCACATTACCACTCAATTAAAACTTTTGTTTTCTCTTTACAAAAGAGAATGTTGTTGCTACAGCGGTGGTGCTATTACATTTAAACACCAGATTTGTTTATTACCCATGTTGTGGTGAAATTTACATCTGTTCACAAATTTTAACTGAGTTGGCATAATGCGGGTGAAGACTAGAAAACTGTCCAAGTTCCTTAGTACTGACACTTCCTTGATTGCGGAATAAGGTGAGGTCAACTTTTTCCTTAAAGTGTACTCGAAACAAAACAAAACAGGCAGGCGTCGCCCCATGTTTCTCACTGCTCCGCTGCCAGTGCGTGCCATTCTGAGAATGAGTGGGAACCCCCCAAGCCCCAAGTTTCCTGTGGTCTTGGCAAAGTTTGGCCGCCAATTGGTGATTCCCATTTCCCCGCGCGAGCTGCCAAGCCCAGGGACAATCCTTTCAGGGCTGGAGTGGCAGATCTTTGGGTTGGAGGAGCAGGAAATGGAAACGAACTCCCTTCTTGGACTCGGTGGGGGGGCCGGGGGGGATGCGAAAGACGAAAGCCAAGGGCGGGGGCCGTACAGGACTGGTGTGCTGTCCCGCCGGGCTAGCGAGGCCTCCGCCCAGCCCCGGGCGGGAGGTCACACGAGCACCGGCGTCGTAGAATCAGAAAGGCAGGCGGTGCAGCCATTTCAAGGTGTCCTCCCGAGTTGGGAGGAACCTCCGGCCCCCCTCCTACTCAGCTTCGCTTGCCGGGGGGCGGCAGTTGGGCAGGAGGGTGGCACAAAACGGCCGCGGGGATCGAAGGGACACCAGGCCGCGCCCGTCGCCTGGGCCTCTGGCCGCGGCAGACCCACCAGACACGGTCGCGGCCAGAGTGTTGAAGACGCGCCGCCTTGGACTGAGCGCTTCGGCGACCCCACCTTGGCTCTCCCCAAGCGTCGCCACCCCTTCCCCGGACCGCAGTACCTGGACGGCACGACTGAGGAAGGTGCCCGCGTCGGCTGCCAGTTTCTTCACGTTAAAGTCCATGATGTTCATTCTGGGCGGCAGCCGGGCGGGGCCGCCGGCTGACCTAGTTGAGGGGCGGAGGCGCCGCGGCCAGGCTAGGGCGCCAGGCGAGAGCGGCGGGGGCAGACGTGGTAGGTGGAGGGAGGCGGCGCCAGCCCCGCCGCCGCAGCTGTCGTTTCCGCGAAGGGGGAGGAGAGGGTGGAGAGAGAAGGAGAGAACGAGAGCCTCAGAGTCAGCCTCGAGCGCCGGCGGTGGCGGCGGAGACTCTAGGCCCGTCGGGTTGGGAGCGAAGATGCTAACGTCGGCGTTGCGACGGCTTGCTAGCGGAGGGTTAGAGACCAGCGTTCCGGCCGTGCGGCGCCTGATTCCCAACAGAGGAAGCAAGGGCCGGCCAAGGGGCGGAGCCTTTTTGCAGGTTATCACGGGAACAGCGACCCCTTCAGGATCTCGGCCAGCCAGTCGCGAGGCGAGCCGAGAGCGCGGCCCGACTCATCTCAGGAGAGCGTCGCGTTTGCAGCGAGCGGCGCGGGGAGGGACAGACAGCAGCGTCGCTGTACGTTTTCAGTTTAGCTCCTGAGAACCGAGAGTAGAGATAACCCCGATTCTCTTTTTGTTTAAGAGTAAATATGGAACGTATAGCATAGAATTACAGTATCTACTAATTGAAAACCCAGAGGTTCCAGTCATTTTGTAGCATCCACGCCCATCTTATCCCTGACTCCAGGATGGCACAAGGCGGATGTTTACAGAATAGAATTGAATTGAATGTCCCCACCCAGTCTATTGTTCAAAAGCTGTGTGCCCGGAGTCCTGGTGTGAGGTTGTCGATCAGCACTATACTGCAGCGGTTCAAACCCACAAGCGCTCTTCGGAAACCCTATTCAACGTCGCTATGAGTCGGAACCGACTCTAACTGTGTGGCTGATGTGCAGTTATAGGATAAGCACTGGACTGCTAATCACAAGGCTGCCAGCCACTCCTCAGAAACTCGATATAGGGTCGCTCTTAGTGGCACTTAACAACTGTGTGCCAAGCAGCCCTGGTAGCGCTATATGATAAGCGTTGAGTTGCTAACCGCAAGGTTGGCAGTTCAAACTCACCAGCAGCTCCGCAGCAGAAAAATGGGGTTTTGTGACCATTTTTTTGCTACTGTGACGATTTGCAATGCCGACAAGCTATACAGGGGCGCTGTGAGTGGGTGGGAATGACGGGATAGTAGTGTATTTAGTGTCATGCACGGAGCTAAATGCTGGAAATACTCTGCGGAATGAGGGACATTGTCCCTGCCCTTTAGGAGCTCTCAGTCTGGTTACTGTTAATCTCCAGGTACTTCTTCGCTCTTACCTGAATTTCTGTAACTATTTGCTGCTGAGAAGACTTTGTAACTGCTTTAAAGTAGCATGCATATGCTGGATTACAGGATCAACACTAGGTACATGCTATGTATGACAAAGCATCTGGGTACCTGGGACACAAAGTACCTGGTGGAGGACACAAAGAGATATAGAATGGTGAGTGAGATAGGTTAACTCAAGCAACTCAGTGTGAAGATTTTAATAATGAACGAAAATATAATGTGAAACTGTTCCAAAACCTTTAACTCTGAGTAACCTCTTAATAGAATTTTCACAATACAGTTTGTTTTTGAAGTAAAAAACAAATACAAGCATGGAAGGAGAGACTTTGTATGGAAACGTTTGTATTTTAAACATAAGAGTATACTGTATTTGTGTGTGTGTGTGAGGTTGTACTCTTTTGATGCAATGTTGTTGTTGTTAGATGCCATCGAGTTGGCACCGACTAATAGCAACCTTATGTACAGCAGAACGAAACACTGCTCGATCCTGGGTCAGCCGCACTACTGTTGCCACACTTGAGTCCGTCGATGCTGCCATTTGGCCAATCTATCTCGTTGGGGGTCTTCCTCTTTTTCTTGGACCCTCCACCTTACCAAACATGATATCCTTCTCTAGCTGCTGTTCCCTCCTTACAGTATGTCCAAAGTATGAGAGATGAAGTTTGGCCATATTGGCCTCTAAGGGGCACTATGGCTGCACTTCTTCCAAAACGAATCTATGGTTTGATGCAATAGGGCATGAAAAATTCTGGCCCAGTAGGCAATGAAATAGGTTTACATTCAGCCTTCAGTGTTTTACTGAAACAGAAGTCACAGAAGCAGTGGCTGTTGTTAAAATTTGAAATTGTCAGCAGATAACATAAATATTTGAGTTTATTTTATTCTTTTTAGTGATGACAGAAAGAGGTTCCTATTGATCAGGTAATTCTAATAGAAAAACAGGATTTCCCAGCAATAAAATACTTTCATCTTATTTGACCAGAAATGTGAATAAGGGAATATATAATCAGGAATCCTGTTTTTAATCTTTTATCCATTTCAAATCTTTATGTGGAAAAGCATTTACCCTCCCTTTCTGATTCTGTCTTTAAAATGTGTATGTGCCATAAATTATACACATCCCCACACACCTGTCAGTTTGGCATACTGCGATGGCTTGTCTGGTACTATGTTGCTGAAAGCTATGACACTGGTGTTTCAAATACAATAGGGTCATCATGGTAGACAGGGTAGACAGTAGAGCTTCCAGATTAAAAACAGAGTTCACTTCTGAGGGATTAGTTATGAAAAATCTTACAAATAGCAGCAAAACACTATCCGATACACTGCCAGGAGATGAAACCCTCAGGTTGAAAGGCAATCACAATATGATGAGGAAGAGCTGCCTCCTTAAAGTAGAGTTGATCTTAATGACATGGATATAGCAAAGCTTTCAGGACAACATGCTGATGGGACATGACTCAAATGAGAAGAAACAACTGAAAATATCCATAAGTAATCAGAACATAGAATGTACAAAATATGGAACTCACCAACAATGGAATGAAATGTGTAACGGTTCATCTCAAAGGCATTATTAATTAGTGAACTGAAATAGATACTCGCCATTTTGAATCAGACAATCATATAGTTTATTATTCTGGGAATGACAGATTGAAGAGGATTGGTGTTTGCATTCAGTGTCAAAAAGAATCTCAAGCTCTATCTTGAAATGCAGTGCTATCTGTGATGGGAAAAAATCCTTATGCCTACAAGAAAGACCAGGAGTCCTGGTGTGATGCTGTGGATTAATGTGCTGGACTGCAATGTCAGTTTGAACCGCAAGGTCGTGACTTCAACTCATCAACGGCTCCTTGGAAACTCTATGCAGAATCGCTATGGGTCAGAATCGACTCAATGGCACTAAACAACAAGGAATACCAGCTAATATCACTATTGTTCAAACTTATGCATAACCTCTAAAGCCAATGATGATTAATTGAGGAATACTACCAAATTCCTCATGCTAAAATTGATCAAACATGCAATCAAAATGCATTGATAATTACTGGTGATTGGAATGAGAAAGTTGGAAGCAAAGAGGAAGGATCAGTAGTTGAAAAATATTGTCTTGGTGATAGAAATTATTCTGTAAATTATCTGATAAAATTTTGATGAGGTGCTATAGGATAAGCACTGAACTGCAAGGTTAGTTTGAACTATAAGGTTGGCAGTTCAAACTCACCAGCTGCTCCTCAGAAACCAGGATTTCTATGAGTTGATGGTATTTTAACAACAACTTATTCATACAAATACCCTTTTTCAACAACATGAATGGTGGTTATACATGTGGAACTCATCAGATGGAATACACAGGAGTCAAACTGACTATTTCTATGGAAAGAGAGGATGGAGAAGCTTAGTATCGTCAGTCAAACATTGGCATAACATAGTCCACACAGAGAATGTCTTACATCCTGCTTTGGTGAGTACCGATTAATGCGGTATCTTTAAAACTCATGAGTGGCCAAATAAGGTACAACCTTTGGTTTCTCCAGACTAACACAGACTAGGAAGAAGGATAGATGGACTACGTCCAAATATTTAGTCACTGAAAACCTTAAGAATAGTAGTGGAACACTTTCAGATAGCAACAGAATATTGAATATTGAAACATATGAATAGCACCAGAATATTGTCAGATATAGTTCCAGATGATTCCCTCAGGTTGGAAGGCACTCAAAGCACGACTGGGGAAGAGATGCCTTCTTAAAATAAAGCTGGCCGTGATGATGCAAATGGAGTAAAGCCTTCGGGACCTTCATTTGCTATTGGGGCACAGCTCAAAATGAGGAGAAACAGCTGTAAATATCCATTAGTAATCAGAACATGAAATGTATGGAGCATAAATCTAGGAAACTTAGAAATTGTCAAAAGTGAAATGGAATGCATAAACATTGATATCCTAGGCATTACTGAGCTGAAATGGATTGGTATTGACCATTTTGAATCTGACAATCACATGGTTTTCTATGCCTGGAATGACAAATTGAAGAGGAATGGCTTCACTTTCATTATCAAAAAGAACATTTCAAGACCTGTTTTGAAATATAATACTATCTGGGATAGGATAAGATCCATACACCTACAAGGAAGACCAGTTAATACTATTATTATTCAAATTTCATCACCAACCCATTAAAGCCAGTGATGATGCAATTGAAGAATTCTACCAATTTCTTCAGTCTGAAATTCATCAAGCATACAATCAAGATGTATTAAGAATTATTGGTGATTGGAATGCAAAGGTTGGAACAATTGAGGAGAGATCAATAGTTGGGAAATATGATCTTGGTGGTAGAAGTGATGCTGGAGATTGCATGATAGAATTTTGCAGGACCAATGACTTCTTCATTCACAAATACCTTTTTTAAACAACATAAAAGATGACTATACACATGGACCTCACCAGATGGAATACACAAAAATAAAATTTACTACATCTGTGGAAAGGAGCTCTGGTAGCATACTGGTGAAGAGTCAGGCTGCTAACCTCAAGGTCAGCAGTTTGAAACTACCAGCCATTCCAAGATAAAGATGAGGCTTTCTGCTCCCATAAAGATTTACAACCTCAGAAACCCTACATAGGGTTGCTATGAGTCAGAACCGACCCCACGGTACACCACCACATCTGTTGAAAGAGACGGTGGAAAAGCTCCATAACAACATGCCCATCGTTACAAAAGGGGCATACTACCATGTCCACGATTAACAGAAAGAGCCTTGTATCCTCCCCCTCAAACCTGTAGATCTACCCAAACTTGGGAAAAGCCCCTACCAGTTATTTCTTACTTTTGCAACCTTTTTAACTGTCCTCTTGTTTTTCTTG